ATTTTTACTGCTTTATATACAATAATTAATTGATAAATTACCAAACTTTAATTCATGCGTGAGAGAGTAATATACATGTGCGCACTAAGGCCCTGCGCACAATAGAGAAAATATTAGGAATAGGAATAAAATATTAAATATCAGGAGGAGCAATTTGGAATTATTTTACTTCAAACAAGGGAACGGGATGGATTAACGCATAATGAAATAAAAAAATAAAAATTAGAAATAATTAATCCATTCCGTTTCCTTGTTTGAAGTAAAATAATTCCAAATTGTTCCTCCTGATATTTAATATTTTATTCCTATTCCTAATATTTTTTCTATTGTGCGCATGGCCTTACTTGAAAATTATTTCTAATACATACTTTATAAGATAATAGTTCTCCGATATCCATTTGTCAAACAGGGATTGTTTAAAAATTACAAGCAAAAAATGTAAAAAATTTTGAAATGAAAACAATTTTATGTCATTAACCACTGTCAAAATGCTTTCTCAGGCTGCGTTCCGATATTCACTGCCAGTCAGTGGTCTAGTTTCCACCGAAGTATTAATTCACACCTAGGCCGGTATTCATAGTCCGTACTTATATTCAAGATCGTCTTAAGTACGATCTTAAGATACTATGCGGCCATTTCATTGGTTGAATGGGATCTTAAGACGACCCAAGACCACACTTAAGACGATCTTGGATATAAGAAAGGACTATGAATACCGGCCATAGTCCGTTCTTATATTCAAGATCGTCTTAAGTACGATCTTAAGATACTATGCGGCCATTTCATTGGTTGAATGGGATCTTAAGGCCGGTATTCATAGTCCGTTCTTATATCCAAGATCGTCTTAAGTGTGGTCTTGGGTCGTCTTAAGATCCCATTCAACCAATGAAATGGCCGCATAGTATCTTAAGATCGTACTTAAGACGATCTTGAATATAAGAACGGACTATGAATACCGGCCCTAGTGCGGCGTAGGACCACAGTATAGTATATACAGTAGCGCAACTCACCCGATTTTGTGTCGGCCAAAACGGAGTGCGCATGCGCGAAATAAGTAAGTTGGCCAGTAACGCCATTTAAATTTCTCTCTCCCTTACTCTTTTTTTTCTACTCTTTCGTTCTCTCTCACACTATTTAAATACCCAATTAAATGCCTACTGCCTACCTTATTTGGTGGAATAGATGACATTATGTTATTTATTGTACGATCGCGCAATTTATCAGAGTTTTTGATACAAAGCGATTACGAAACGATTACAGATATTTAATATAATTATATTTGTAATTATAACTTTATGTATATATTACAATAATTTTCTTCTTAGTTACGTGCCTGTAAGCAAGATTTGGGCACGTAACTAAGTCGTTCCGAACA